CTACTAAGATCAATCTACCCTGCATACCCTACATTTTACTATCCTCCATGTGCCTATCCAAGAGTTGCTTAAAAGTCTCTAAAGTATCTGACTCCACTACCACTGCTGGCAGCACATTCCACACACCCACCACTCTCTGTGTGAAGATCCTACCTCTGACATCTCCCCTATACCTTCCTCCAATCACCTTAAAATTATGCCCCCTTGTAGTAGTCATTTCCGCCCTTGGAAAAAGTCTCTCACTATCCACTCTATCTATGCCTCTCATCATCCTGTACACCTCTATCAAGTCACCTCTCATCCTTCTTTGCTCCAGTGAGAAAAGTCCTAGCTCCCTCAACCTTTCCTCATAAGACCTGCCCTCCAGTCCAGACACCATCCTGGTAAATCTCCTCTGCACCCTCTCTAAAGCTTCCACATCCTTCCTATAATGAGGTGACCAGAACTGAACACACTATTCCAAGTGTGGTCTAACCAGAGTTTTATAGAGCTGCAGCATGACGTCATGGCTCTTAAACTCAATTCCCCTGTCAATGAAAGCCAACACACCGTACATCTTCTTTACAACCCTATCAACTTGGGTGGCAACTTTGAAGGATCTATGGACATAAACCCCAAGATCCCTCTGTTCCTCCACATTGCCGAGAATCCTGCCATTAATCCTGTATTCTGCATTCAAATTCAACCTTCCAAAATGAATCACTTCACACTTGTCTGGGTTGAATTCCATCTGCCACTTCTTTGCCCAGCTCTGCGTCCTGTCAATGTCCCGTTGCAGCCTACAACAGCCCTCCACGCTGTCCATAACTCCACCAACTTCTGTGTCATCGGCAAACTTACTAACCCACCCTTCCACTTCCTCATCCAAGTCATTTATAAAGATCACTAAGACCAGAGGTCCCAGAACAGATCCCTGTGGAACACCACTGGTCACCGAGCTCCAGGCTGAATATTTTCCATCTTCTACCACCCTCTGACTTCTATTGGACAGCCAATTCTGTATCCAGACAGACAAATTTCCCTGAATCCCATGCCTCCTTACTTTCTGAATGAGCCTACCATGGAGAACCTTATCAAATACCTTGCTAAAATCCGTATACACCACATCCACTGGTCTGCCTTCATCTGTGTGTTTTGTCACATCCTCAAAGAATTCAGTAAGGCTTGTGAGGCATGACCTGCCCCTCACAAAGCCATGCTGACTATTTCTAATCGAACTGTGCTTTTCCAAATAATCATAAATACTATCTCTCAGAATCCTCTCCAATAATTTGCCCACCACAGAAGTAAGACTGATCTGTCTGTAATTCCCAGGATTATCCCTATTCCCTTTCTTGAGCAAGGGAATGACATTTGCCACCCTCCAATCATCTGGTATTACTCCAGTGGACAGTGAGGATGCAAAGATCATTGCTAAAGGGGCAGCAATCTCTTCCCTCACTTCCTGTAGTAACCTTGGGTATATCCCCTCTGGCCCAGGGGACTTATGTTTTTCAAAATTTCTAGCACTTCCTCCTTCTTAACATCAACCTGTTCGAGCATATCTGCCGGTTTCATGCTGTCCTCACAAACGTCAAGGTCCCTCTCACTGGTGAATACTGAAGCAAAGCATTCATTAAGGACCTCCCCTCCCTTCTCTGACTCCACGCACAAGTTCCCTCCACTATCCCTGATTGGCCCTACCCTCACGCTGGCCATCCTCTTGTTCCTCACATAGGCATAGAATGCCTTGGGGTTTTCCTTGATCCTACCTGCCCAGGTTTTCTCATATGCCCTTTAGCTCTCATAAGTCCATTCTTCAATTCCTTCCTGGCTACCTTGTAGACCTCTAGAGCCCTGTCTGATCCTTGCTTCCTCAGCCTTAAGTAAGCTTCCTTCTTCCTCTTGACTAGATGTTCCAAATGTCCTGTCATTCAAGGTTCCTTCACCTTACCATCCCTTTCTTGCCTCAGTGGGACAAACCTATCCAGTACTTGTAGCAAGTGCTCCCTAAAGAACCTCCACATTTCTGTTGTGCATTTTCCTGAGAACATCTGATGCCAATTTATGCTCCGCAGTTCTTAGCTAATAGCATTGTAATTTCCCCCTCCCCCAATTAAATGCTTTCACATATCATCTGCTCCTATCCCTCTCCATGACTATAGTAAAGGTCAGGGAGTTGTGATCACTATCGCCGAAATGCTCTCCCACCGAGAGATCTGACACCTGGCCTGGTTCGTTGCCAAGCACCAAATCCAATATGGCCTCCCCTCTAGTCGGTCAATCTGCATATTGAGTCAGAAATCCTTCCTGGACACGCCTGACAAAATCTGCTCCATCCAAACTATTTGCACTTGGGAGATTCCAGTCTATATTAAGGAAGTTGAAGTCGCCCATGACAACAACCCTATTACTTCTGCACCTTTCCACAATCTGTCTCCCAGACTGTTCCTCAGTGCCTCTGTTGCTATTGGAGGGTCTATAGAAAACTCCAAATAAAGTGACTGCACCTTTCCTGTTTCTGACTTCACCCATAATGACTCAGCAGACAAACCCTCCTCGTCCTCCCTTTCTGCAGCTGTGATACCATCCCTGATTAGCAGTGCCACTCCCCCACCTCTTTTACCTCCCTCCCTATTTCTTTTGAAACATCTAAACCCCGGAACATCCAACAACCATTCCTGCCTCTGGGTTATCCAAGTCTCCATAACGGCCACAACATCGTAGTTCTAAGTACCGATCCATGCTCTAAGTTCGTCACCCTTATTCCTGACACTAGGGTTAGGGCCCAAAGAGACGGTCACTGAAATGATGGCCAGAATGGCTGCCTCTTTCTGTTCTCACTGCTCCCGGGGAGAAGTTGGGTGGGTGGGGGGAGGGAGTGGGGTGCGGAATTTCCCGTTCTTGTTCCACCTTGTGTTACAATGATATCTCTATCTGCATTCTGCCCTCTCCCCACTGCAGGCATACGTGGTGCTGGGACAGTACCTGGTCCTCAGGAAGAATGAAGATCTTTTTAAAGAGTGGCTAAAGGACACATGCCAGGCCAATGCCAAGCAGTGCAACGATTGTCACACTTGCCTCCGCGAGTGGTGTGATGCCTTCCTGTGAAGCTCCTGACCTCGGCTCCCCTCTCCCTTTGTACTTTTATTGGTATTAAAATGACGTTAAATTATCGTTCTTTACCCACTGCCCCCCCCAACCCCACTTCCTTTCCATTGTACTCTCCCCTCTCTGTTTTGTTCTTTCTCTTTCATTTTCTCTCCCTCTTTTATTCTTGCTTCCTTTCGTTCTCTAGCGC